AGATTGGAGCACATATCGTTGTTCTTATTCTCAATGACGCAGCCTTGTACTGATCTGCTTCACAGCTTAATCAGAGGTTTCAATGTTAAGCACAACTGAAGAGCACTAACATTGCGTAGCTGAAAAATGTCTCTAACTGATAAGGATCTTTTCCAACAAGTATTAGCATTCCTCATGTTTGCTCGAACTGCGCCATCAAGTTAGCGATCTTTACATCCATGTTATACACCTGTCGCATTGTCAGCTACCATGAATAAATGACCTCGTCAAACTCTCTTATATCCAACAATTTCAAATGAGATGGCATGTTCAGCATGCAGCACTTGTTTCGTAACAACTCAATCTAATCTGAGGACGATTTAAGGAATTACTGTCAATCTGTTGCTTCCAGAAGGGGAGAAAACTTTGTTTACTTGTGCAGACTAATCCTGCTGCTTATCAAAACTGTTCTCGTCAAAACATAATAGCGAAGCTTTACCGTATCTGACATGTCGTCAATGACTTACTTTCTTCCACGTTGAACTGAATCATGAATCTTCCATCTGAGTCACTACGGCGGTCGATGTTGCTCGAAGACCGGAAATAGACAAACACGTATGGCAGCGACGAACGGAGTTCCGACACGGTCGGCGCAACAGAGGTACAGTACTGCGACATCAATCGGTCGTCTGATCGTTCGCCATCGCGAATCTGCATGTTTTGCGCACAACACTGAACGCCGCTAATCACAGAGCAATGAATATTACCTCCACAATATCATTCGTGCAGTTTTCATTTCCGTCACGGAGTACCATGGTCACGACATTCATTTTAAGGTGGAAACCTGGAGTGGTGATCAAAACCCACCTGCAATGCAGATTTGTGCCATACTGCAGGGGATAATTTGGAGACGTAATGGCCCCACGGGTGTCATAAAGTCGACCACCGCATACTAAATAATAAAGTTCCAAATCAACCAAAATTCATAATACATTGCCAATTTCAGAAAGCTGAGGTAACAGAGCATTATTTCACTTCTTATTGGCACAGTTTAGTTACGATCAGAGGGAATGGCGTCGATCATATGTTCCGCTTTTAGGTGATGACCAGCTTGACATTTTTCTCAAAGCCAAAAGCTAAGTTCCATGCAAAAATCAGACACCGGACATTACGCTACTCAAAACCGTAAAGATATGGTCAATGGCATCGAAATGATATATGTGCATGAAGCTGTCGATTAATCTTTTAAAGGATGTCGATGGAGTCGAAATATTATACAATATATTAATGTTGCTTTATTATAATAACCGTGTATGACTAAATGTACTGCTACAGCTTAACAACGAGCCAAGTGTAGCTGGAAGCTTTGGCAATTTATGTAATGAAATCAATATGTGGGCAATCCGGTAGAAACACGAAGACCATATAGTAGTATATTACTATTTGAAGCCTCCGCATGAATCACAACAGAAGAGTTTTTGCCACCTTCGACATATGGCAATTCCGAAGAGCAGGACTCAACGGTTCATGACCGATCTTCACTGTCCAAAAGATTGCCATATTTCACAAGGCCATGCGATTCATTATTTTGATCATTTGCCGCTCTCCACAACGAATGCTCTTACGCTGAATCTTTGATCTCAACACAACAAGTACCAGTAACTAAGGAGGCAAGATTTACCTGGCACAGTCGCGGTCCAATTAAGCGAAAAACCCATGCGATGAACCGATCCATCCGTTCTAAACAACAGGTGCAATCGATTGCCCGACGACAGTATATAATCGTCGGGGGCCGTCGACTGGCCAATCATGCCACAGTATATGCCGATTTCTGGTGACGTCATATCACCGCCATCAAATATTGTTAAATTATCGAAGCGACAGTAATCCAGCGTCGATGATTGGCTGCGCTCGATGTCGAATTGCACAAAAGTAACATTCACGACCTAATGCAAAACACGTCAGATCAAACAGTTAGTTGTTGAAAAAATCTTGAAGTTCACCATCCCCTCGGACACGGTAATTGTCCATTTGCAGGTTTCTAGGCCAGGGTAGGTCAGCCCAACTGTCGGATACTTGAGAGTGCCGCTGTCTGACTGGTAATGACCTGAACAACCTGAAACACACGAGACAGTTAGTACTACAGTGTCAAATTCAAGGTGAAGCAGTTTGCTCTGTACAACTTTTTGACTTGTTTTGCATATTTACCCTGTTCATGGATATAGCTACTGCTGAAACCTTTATTTTATTATTGATGGTTGAAAATTATAATTTATTATGTCGTCATAAGCCTCACTAGATAGCATTGGTGGCATCCTCTTCCCTTCATCTTCGGGATTCTCAAAGAGCAAGAGGAACAGCAACGTTTTAATTTGCAAAAACTTCAGTTCCTGAGGTTAAAGCTCTTAAGGATCCTCATTTTTCATTATTGTTTCTGTTACGTTAAGCTGTTACTAACTGTTACCTATTAAATATACGTCATATTTTCTATTTCTTTTTTATCATCATTGTCGTTTCCAGTTTTTCTTCTTCACCACGGTCAGCCTAGCTAAGCTTCAAGCCTGTATAATTAAATTCATGCTAATTTATGTCAAGTGTGACTCTATACACAAATTGCACTGATTTTCTTTCTATAGCTCTGGAATTTCTGGCCTAAATTTTTAAAAACGGACCTGCAGAAGTATGTGATCAGTGACCAGGTACTGTGAGCCATCTAGTCACTATACGTTGATAGCAAGCTCAGCGTCAGAGTAAGTGGCATTAAGTCAAAACCTTTCCACGTTGGCACTGGTCTCAGTCAAGGCTGCGCCCTGTTTCTTCTACAGTTTGCGTCCTATGTGGATAAGATTGTCAGTCACGGCCAGAGTGATGAGTGCGTCAGGCAGGAGATGTGCACATGAGAAATATGCCGTTAGCTGATGACTTGCTTCATTGGCACCTTCTGAAACTCTTCAGCGCTCTCTGAAAGGTTCACAGCCAGTGCGGCGTGGTTGTGTAGCGCTTTTTCATTTTCCTGATAAACATGAGGGCAGTAGAGCAGGTGAAAAAACTCACGACCCGAGTAGAAAATGGGAGGAAAAGATCGAGTATGGAATCGGAATGACCAGTGGTGTGTTGCGTGAATTATCATGAACAGTTATAACTAATGTAGAGCTTCAAATACTTAGCTATTAGGTAGAGTTGGGTCTGAAAAACAAGCAGACTGTTTCTAAATCAATTTTCACCCCGATGCTTAATTATGGTCATGAGTCATGAACCATGACAAAAATTTACACTCTTACTGAAATCAAAAAATTCAAATGAAACAACTGTATACTAGACTTAACAAGACAACGAAGTACGATAGAGGCATTCTTTGTAGCAAAGCCTTTATGTTGCTACTCATTTTTGGGCCTATTCTTCAACATCACCTCAACCGTCACACCTACATGCGCACACGAGTCGAATTCAGAACTCGACAACACTTAAAGCCATACCCTCTTCGCGCAGTTCGCAGTTGATCCCGTAATTTCCAAATTTGCATATACATTTGTACTGGTTATTGCCCTTCGAAACGCACGTGCCGTTGTTTTGACACGGAGCACTCAAACAAGGACTCGCCTGGCTGCAGTCTTGCCCTGAATAGCCCCAGGCACAATGACACGTGAACGACCGACTGGACAATGCCTAGAAGAACAGATACGGCAATGACAGTAAACGTGTAAGGAGCATATGCCGCACCTGGCAACTGCCTCCATTCAAGCATGGGTGAGAAGAACATGGATCCCTCTCCACTGGATAACAACCGTTTGGTCCTAACCCTGTTCCAGCATAGTCCGGCGGACACTGACAGTGGAAGCCGTCGACGAAATCTGAATGTTGATTGCAATTAAGTCAGGACGAAATGACAGTTGCGCAAATACCTGCTGATTCAGAACACGTCGCCAACGCATGACATGGTTTCTGTTGACAGCCAAATTCCTTGGTACAAACCACGCCGTTGCCTGCGAAACCGGCAGGGCAAGAACCGCAGTGGAATGAGCCATAGGTGTTGATGCAAGGGACTTGTGGCTGCATGGAGCAACCACCGTTGTTGATCAAACATTCATTAACGTCCCAACATTGTACACCATTTCCGGTGTAACCTGAGTAACAACATTTTGCCAACACAAAATATTAGAATCTCAAGACTCATTACCTTCTGGGCAGCTGCCACATCTAAACTTCCCTGGCAAGTTATAACACGCACTTCCGTGAAAGCAGGGGTTGTTCTTGCATTCATCAATATCCTCACAATACGGGTTCGAAATACTGTCACTCTGCTGCCAGCCAACGTCGCAGACACATCGGTATGAAGCCTTGAACATGCACGATTAGCAGTATAAGTCATTCATAATAAAAGCAAGAAAGTACATAATATATGCAGTGAACTGTGAGATTATGAAGCCTGAATACATTTCTATTTAAATAATGTCATTTCTACTAAACCGTCTAGATATTTGTTCTCCCAGAAGCCAACTGCAAGATTCATGTTGTGGATGAAGGGCAAAGACAAAGTAATGAAATGATCAAACATATTTTTAAAGTAATGAATTATTTCAAAGCTATATATATATATATATATAGCTGCAATGAAACTGCAATGAACAGACTCGAGGAAGCACTAAGAGGCCAAAATTCTGAAACTGTGCGAGTAGAAGCTATTACATTCGAGTGTCGACTCCATGAGCAG